TAAATTTTCAGCTTCCTAGCTTTTGTGGTTCCCGAGTTGAAAGTTGCGAACAAGTTGTTGCGGACATATACACACACACATACACACAAACACACACACAGACAACCCCGTAACAATATGCGTTTTGTACTGCTGTTACACAGCACAAAACGCATAATACTGTAGTGTGGAGTAGAAGGGCGTAGGTTAAATTAGTAGACAGTCGGTAGGAAGAGGTAAGTTAAAGAATAAGGGAAAGGGCAAAAGGACGTAAGGGTGGGTATAGAGAAAGAGAGAGACGGAAGATGAGGGTAAGAGACAGAAAAGTAAGAGTCAAAAATGAGATATGAGGTTGGATATGTAAGTAGGTGGAAATATAGAGATGGCGGTGGAGAAGTAAATGAAAAATAAATGTAAAATAAAGGAAAATTAAAATAATAATAAAAATAAAAATGAAAACAAAATAAAAATAAATAAAAAGAACATACGTAATAAAACAGTAACAGAATAAGATAAGGCAAAACAAAAATAACAATAAACTAGATGGAAGAACTAGTACATTTACTTAACATATATGCAATCAAGTAGTTTGGACGAGTATCTTATCAATCTATTCATAAAACATTGCTGAGAAAGTACAACTATTGATCCAATATTAGGATATTGACTGCAACTGTATAAACAAATACGAACAAACTGAAAGTTCAAAATTGTAGTGAAATTAGTAATAATGCAAAATATTAAAATCAAGTGTACCAAAGAAATAATCCTTGTTGAAAGACTTATATTACATTTTGTAAGAGCAAAATGCTTAGAAAAATCAAATCTGCATAAGGAAAAGAATGCACGACAAACAGGGTAAAATTTATAACGTTTCTCTATTTTTATAAACGCCAATCAAATCCGCAGCAGGAAGTACGAACCCGTCTTAAGAAGGCTCTGTACGTAGGAACCAAAATAACTGACTATAGATTATATTACCATGGAATACAGGAAAAACATTACTGTCTAAATAAATATATCTGTTAGTAGCGGAGTTGAAATTACTAATCATCAAATAAAGTGGTATATAGCTACCCATTATCCAGTTTAAAAGTAACGCCCAAAAAGTCAACCTAATGATCTTATGCTTGCCGGCAGTTATCTTAGCGGGTAAATCCGGCCCATTATATCTCAACAGCTATCTGAACAAAATTATTAAAATCAAAAGCAATTGGATCATCCACATAGGGACACAGTGACAAGTAAGGATTATTGTCCACTATGTATCAGCAATGTGGTAAAGCCGAAAAGAAGAGCAGCTGAGCTTACTGCATGCAAGAGGGCCAGCCATTAAGAGCACCAGTGTACTAAAGTAAGATTGCATATGTTAAATAATTGTCCGCTTTGTGCCGAAGCTAAAACACAGCCAGATCTGGCAGAAGAAATAGCATTTATCACTAAAATGCTCTGTTCCGCATTGCCTGAGGCGTCAGCAGTTTGCTTCGCTGAGGAAAGAGTGTTAAGTATAAAACGATGTCACTGATGAAGTATAACTAGGAAAAAGATAAAACCAGAACGCTGGTCAATTTAAAAGCAAACCTCTTTCGTCAGATAGTCAAATGATGCAGCCGCCATCAAGGAAACACAAGCAGTCATAAAATTTGCCGCAAAGTCATCTTGTCTTAACACTAAGGAAAGGACAACTACGCAGTGGAGAATAACGCACAGACAAAATGTGCTGGCGATGGAAAGATACATTAAAAAAAGTCGCTGCATCGCGCCCTACCGCAACTTTCACCCCAAGAGAAAGCAGCAATTTGACAACTACTGCTTCAGTTACTACTGTAAATTTATAGCAGAGAACGACCAATTTTCCCAAGCAAAACAGTGGTAACAAAAATGCTCACGGCATGCAGCGCACGGCGTATTTCGGGCTCCGCCAGTTTAACTTTCCGCTGAAGGTCCTCTTTCTCCGAAAGATGTCGCTTCTTCCATTCATCACTGTTCTTCCTCTCCGCTGCAGCCATTGCATCTTTGATCTCAATTCGTTTCTCAAGATCCATTTTCTCCTGGAACCAGATTTCCCGTCACTTCAAACCGATGAAAGCAATGTTATCATTTACCCACATATTCTTTGAAAAAGCCGTAACCAAGAAATAAAAAGAGGAAAATGAACAAGTGTACACTTCACACTGCAGCGGCTTACTTTTTTCCATATTCGTTCTTTTTCCTCATAGCTTCTAAGCTGTGCCATCATTTTCCTGTAAAATCAGAAAATAACAAAACATTAATGGCGGAATTTACATATGAAAAAATTTTAGAATGCTTCGCCGAGAAGAAATTATAGTCGCTTCACAGGTGAAAAATTTAACTAAGAAAAAGTCAGACAGCCCAGTGTCAGATGACACTGACATAACTGTTAAGAGTGTGCTGAAATTCACCTGCCCTCTTCGATCCTCTGCCTAAGCTCCCCTTGCAGACTTTCAATAAGCGGACGCATTTCGGCTACTTCTTTTGTCGACTCATCACGCCTGCAATTAGTAATTCTTAATGAAATCGACAGAAACACAGAAATACTATACAAAAAATAAACAAAGTTATTAGCTAAATGACTAACGCAACAGCATCCCCTATAAAAAGAGGATAGTACCCACGATTGCCTGACAATGATTACGCTGACATTATGGGAAAGGAAAAGTGTGTCCCTCCTTGAAGCAAGAACCTGGAAGACAATAACTGGCGAAC